AGAGAACCTGTTTATTTAAAACCACTTGCTTTTTTCTTATGCTTAATAGCCAAAGAGAACCTATTTATTTAAAACCACTTGCCTTTTTCTTATGTTTAATAGCTGAAGAAAACCTGATTATTAAAAACCATTTGCCTTTTTCTTATGCTTAATAGCCAAAGAGAACCTGTTTATTTAAAACCACTTGCCTTTTTCTTGTGTTTAATAGCCAAAGAAAACCTGTTTACTTAAAACAACTTGCCTTTTTCTTGTGTTTAACAGCCATCAGTTCTTCATGGGATGAAATATTCTCTGATATGCTCATCCTATTTGGTTTGATCAAGGGAATTCTATTACTGTGTGTGTTCACAGGAGGGAAAATCTTGGTAGAGCTAGAGATCTTTGCATGTTCCTGTATCTTCTGCCCAACAAGGTATCCTGATGCAAGGAGGCCAAAGCTTTCGGGTTTCTCATGTTTCAAGTCAGTTTCCATTTCCATTTGGACTATACATAAATGTTGTTACAAAATTATAGTTTTTTTATACCTTAATTCACATTAAAACAATTTTAAATTAAAAACCATTTCAAAAGATATCACTGTCCCAATGCTTTGTTTTGGAACTTTTGTAGATATATGTCATATTAACCTCAAAACTAAAATACAATACAGACAAATCACAGGGAAGGCCTCAATTTTGAAAATTGGTTTGTGACTAGTTTAATATATTCTTTAAACCTACTTCATCACCATTTGAGTACTATAAATAGCTACTCTGATTTTATCAGTATCAACAAACAAGCTATATTATCTAATTTTGCAATAATACAAGTAAATAAATAGAGATTTAAACTTGTGGTCTATAATTCTTTGAATTTACAACCACCTGAAGTTTCCTTTTACTAACAAAGAGTATACCTCGCTCAGCAGCTGCCAAAGAATCTTTCACATCATCTTTGGTGCTTTGTCTTTCAGTAAGTACTCGGTAGTGACAATGAGTTTCGATAGAGTCAATGACAGTAAGAAGAGCATCCAAAGACAAAAGGTGAGTGGAGTATAACCCAGAGACTGGAAAAGCATTCTGGAAAAAAAAAGATAGGATCAAACACAGAAATCAAAGCGATTGTCAAGTAAAAAGTAACAAACTCAAAACACCAGTCTTCTCCAATAAAGACTTCTTCAACTAAATCTAATGTTTTTTTTAAAGACTTTACTCTCTGATGTCATACAAAACAACAATAAACTGATTGTGGACCAGCCTAACATACTAATTTTTTATTTAAATCAAACTAATTTAATATCTTTATAATATTAAATGATATGGTCATGATGTGTTTTGGATGCTACAAGTATTGTACATGTACTACCATATAGTCCTTTTTCACAAGGAACTTACAATAAACAACATGTATGCTTTAGCAATGTACATGTAACCATACTACTGTTCAATCTGACTTCACATGGATATAACAGGTACATACAAAAACTGCTTAGTAGAGTACAAGTGTTATCTTTATACATAACTAAATTAGGACAATATGACAAGATTGAATGTTATATTAAGGTTTTCAAAAATAAATTCACTTATTGTAGGGGAAAAAAATACCTCAGATAAAGCAATGACTAAACTTTTCTTTGACTCTACTAGTACTAAGATTTATTCATCAGGAGTATAACCACAATAAAGATATTTGTTTTATATTTTAGTCTGAGAATACTTTGTTTTTTGCTCTAAGTGCAGTGGATACATATTACCATTTTTGTATTTTTTTTGACAAAATCTAAAGTCTTTTAAAATGGAAACTTTTCACATTAGTTGGCTACACAGTCCAACTGTATAAAAATTCTAACAGAGGCTCATAAGCTCTCCTCTACACATATCACTTTCAAGATATGAGAAAAATACAGAAACCTACATCAATGTTTAGGTTCTCAGAAGCCAAAAAATTTTTTTCCATTAGGGTACTTATGTACATGCTATTTAATAATCTAAAAAAATCTAAATCATGACATTTTCAATGTGGACTGATTAGAATATCCAACATGTGTATTACTAGCAATATATTAATAAATAACTCATGGGAGAAAATACACAAATTTATGAATAAAATAACAAATTATTCATTTTACTCAGACTGCCAGATAACTGTACCAACTATTTTAGCATTTTGAAATCAATACAAACCAACTGCAACTGATTTTGTCACTCTGGAATTTTTCACAAATAACTGCCCATCAAGCTTTAGTTATCTAACATCACTATCAAATAATTGCCTAACAGCCTTGGTTGGAATTTGGGGATCATTCCAAAGTAACTGCCGAAATTCTTGTTAAAGCATTCTTTCTAAGATAACATTTAAATAACTACTTAATTACTTTATCCTTTCTACTGCCAAGTTTGTCTTATCAACTAAGCTTGACCTTAAACTGACTTAAATCAGTATTAAAAGAATAACAAAACTGTCTTAATTAATTGATAAAATAAATATAACAATCTACCTTTAGAACTTATAGCTTGTACTGTTGGATCACCCTCAGAAAGTTTGTTACACTAGTGGAAACATTTCTAGATTGACTGTAACATACAATCTATCACTTTGGTGAAACTTCAACATATCCTTTAACCCCATTGGAAAAAGGCAATTACCGAACTCCTCAACACAGTTAAACCTTCTTGGAATATCAGCAGGTATTATTTTAGAGAACAGTTATTTCAAAAATGATTTTAGCAACATATCTTAAGTATCTCTATTCAAAATAGGATCCTAATGATAATTTCAGTAATATTTTTTGCACCTACTGAAACAAAAGGGTTTAAACAATTGCATCACATAACAAATCTTCATCCATGGGGACGGTATAGAATTTACAATGACATATTTGGAAATATGACTCATGGTACTGAAAATGTACTTGAATGTCACAAGTATCTCAAAACTGTACATCCAACAGTAAGTCACTTTAGAAACATCACACAATCTTTGTTGTTTGTTAATCTTCAAACATATATGTCTCTACTTCTTTACACACAAAAAATACTCACTATAATCTTAGATTACAGATCACATTATCCTCCCACAATAAAAAAAAGGGTTAACTATGGGATAATTATACAAAACTGAGTGCGTGTTTTCTAGTAAATACAAAGAAAACACAAAATCCTGAACTTAGACTTAATACTAAACAATGGCTATTCAGATACATTTAACATGTATATTGTGTGTGTGTATATGAATGATGAAAGATAAATGGAAAAATTTATTATTACTATTAACATTGAAGCACAGTACACTTAATACAAAACAATTTGTTAAATTAGGAAAAGAAACATAATTTGGAATATAAATCAAATCTATTGCACAAGTTATTTCACATATCAGTGAAGAACTATGAAACAACCCATACCAGCATTTACATTTGTACAAAATCCACAAATAACTTTTAAAAAATCAAATCTGTTTTTAAAATCAATAGCCATTGCACAAAATCATTTCGTTAATTTTTTCTAACATGCAAGGATAATGTTTTCTCAGTCATTATCAACTTGGACACAAAGTAAAACCATGAAACCACCTATGTTGGCAAAAAGTAGCTGACCATTTCATGAACTCGCACATGAACAAAAACAAAGATATGCAAGACATGGGTACAGAAGGAATTGCAGTTGCAGACCACAAATGTTATACACATAAACAGCACCAACTTTGTACTGCCCTGCAAATGACAAAAATCTTGCAAAAACCAATAGCTCCCAAGAAGGAAAGTTTAAGAGCCCATTATTGTCAAACAACACAAGCCAGAAATTAATAAACATAATAGCTGTAATCAAATACGTTGTGAACCATTTCTTGACACTGAGTATTACTTGTTTACTGTAATACTCATTTCCTTATACTCTTTTGTTCTTATACTTGGAATGTACTCCTTTTCACAATTCTCATTAAAATTAGATACAAGTTTCTACATTACAGTTTCAAAATAGTGTATGTCTCATCTGTAGAAATATTGTGAGCTCTGTTGCTTGTTCACCTGCTTTTGAATCATATTAATTTTTAGAATGTTTTCTTCATGAAAACAATGCTGAAATATTGCATTAATAAAGTAGTTTTAAATGTTGTATCAGGAGTTACAGGTTGTTGTATGTATTTACATGTAAAAGATGTGTTTTAAATTAATTTGAAATTAAGAAATAATTGAAACTGTTATATATTACCTTTGATAAAAGTTTGGTTAGGTCTTCAAACAAATTGGAGCAATACAGATCACAATCATAGTTTAGATACAATTCTGTTACCAAACCTGGAATTCGCCACAGTTGGACAACTGAATCTAGGGCTAGTGCTCGTTGTTCATAAAAAATCTTAGCAGATTCAGACACGATTATTTCCATCAAGCGAGACAAGTACATCTGAAAATAATTATAAAAAATTAAAATGAACCAAAATTTACACAACCAGAAATGCTAATTCAGAATTAGAATGAGAAAAACGTTTCTTGAAAAAAACAGAAAAAATTACATAATATTATACTTCAAAAAGAAAAAAATTACAACTAATTTAAAAGTCTTACAAAATATGATGTTAAAACAAATTGAAAATTTGTACAAAAACAAAAGTGAGAATAATGTTGAAGAAGCCAAAAATTACCTACAACTAACATTGTTTTACAATGAGAATAACAAGTTGGGTCTCAAATAACTTGTATGTATAAAAAAAAATAGAGAACATATCTTGTACTGATTATCCAAATATACAATGAAAATAATTTTTTTTCTAAGATATACTTGGTTTCAAAAGGTAATTCAGAAAATAAAGTGTTCATTTTAATTGTACGTTTGATAGATAATTAATTATTTTAATTTGTTTTTTTTTATCAATAATAAATCATGTTGTAAAGCAGTGGTTCCCATCCTTTTGACAAATTAATTCCAATTCCAACATTTCACATAACATACAATATTAATTTTTGAAAATGCTTTTAAAGTAAACTATAAAACAATACATCTTAAAACACAATTTTTTTGACCACTTTGTAAACCAATTGAAATCTCCCTGTGGACTGGCAGTTGGGAACTACTGCTGTAGTTTTTGAGAGTATAAAAATTCTAGAGATGTAATATTTGACAAGTCTCTCTCACAAGAATACTGTATTATTATTAAACTGGGATAAGACTACTGAACAAACAATATGACTGTTAACAGAACAGGCTACATATATAGTCTTTTATAACCAGGAATTTCATTTACTAGGTTTGAAATAATACACAGATTACGTAAGATAACAGTTACAGAAAACAAATCACATTACTGATAGGAAAATTTCTAAACAGTACTGATGCTTTTCTTCAATAATAACTTTAAAGTATCTAAACATTACCTCACCTAGCAGTTAATCAACTCTGCACTTAATCTAAGGAAATGTTATTTATTCTGTGACTATGTAAACATCATGAAATTTTTTCTCACTTTTGAGTTTTATACGCTGATACTTATGAAAATATCAAGATTATAAAAAAAAATCCAGAATATTTCTCATATTTTAATTTACAGTACTATCACATAAGATATTAAATGATACATCTACTATCCTGTATTACAAGATTTGTTTCTCAAATCAGCATATCATTCAACTTTGTGTGTGAACCTTTTCATGTAATTCTTGTGATGTTTTCATTTACAATTGTACTGAATTGAGTTAAATTAAACAAAGTAATTAATTGTTTTGTTTGTTTTGAATTTTGCTCAAAGCTACATGAGGGCTATCTGCATTAGCCGTCCCTAATTTAGCAGTGAAAGACTAGAGGGAAGGCGGCTAGTCAACACCACCCACCGACAACTCTTGGGCTACTCTTTTACCAACAAATTGGATTGACCATCACATTATAACATCCCCACGGCTGAAAGGGCAAGCATGTATGGTGGGATAGGAATTCAAACCCACGATTCTAAGAATGCGAGTCAAGTGCCCTAGCCACCTGGCCATGCAGGGCCTACACGTTTTATAGTACCATTTCAACACCCGTAGGTTTCATTGTCATTGTTATGGGCTGATACTTCATTGTTATTTACAAACAATTATTCGTAAGTACTAAAGTCTAAAAATGCATTTGATTTCTAATGTTTAAATTTATTAGTTTTGTTTGGCTGTATTGCTTTTATTTTTGTTAAACAAACTTTCATTATAGAGATTCTATTTGAAAGAACAGTAAATAATATTATTTCTAATACTCTCTGTCTTTATAAAAATATATTTACATATAAATCAGGCAACTAATAATTTATGTTATGCCACTTTTGATAAACATAACTTATAGACATTTTATACTTTATCATGTGCTATACATTCACTGAAACATTCCATTAAGTATCACACAAGTATTTAATCAGAGCCTCATTGGAAAGAAGTTCATTTTAATTGAAAAATCATAAGTGAAATTGGAATATTTGCTTAAAAAGATGAACCAGTGGTATTCTTGAATTTCAAACTTAAAAGACATTTTTTAATTTATAAATCCTATGGACTTGTGACCTTCAGTAATTTTTAGACTGATATTTAATACAAATAATTAATCTTTTAAAATATATAAGCTGCATACCTCTAGCTGAAACTTAAGATGTGTTCGTAAAGCTTCAAAAAGCAGGAAACAAACACTAAGAGTTGTTGCAAACAATGACAGTCTCTCAGAATTCAAGAGCTGGAAAAAGAACCATTAAAACATACAAATTATTTTTGATGATATGTGGGTTATATATTTTTTTAACTTGTTAAAAAATTAATGAGTTACATTCAAATAAACTGAATTTTTACTTTAATTTTGGTACCTGTTCTAAAAAAAATAATTAAAAAATTTTTGGTATATAAATTTAAATATTTTTCATGTAATATGACCAAAATTGACTTTTTTGTATATATTTCTATTTCAAATGACTCTCCATTTGCCGCATTACTGCGAATACTAAAGAACATTATTGTCAAAGCCTAGTCAAAAATACCTTAATGAGCAAAGCATGAACAAATGCTGTAAAACACAACAAAAAAAATGTTTTGAAGACAGCACTATATCACACTGTTTTACATTCAGTACAGATGTTAAAATTACTTGTCGTTAAACGTACCACATAAAAAATATAAAACTAATAACATTTTGATATTAGAAGGGAATTGGTACTAATATGTAGTTCAGTAATATATATATATATGGCCCTAACTAAAATTGGATGACAATGAAGAACACCCAGTAACTTGTAATATATTGTTAAAAAAAATCTATTTCATGTTAGACCACTGTCATAAGAACAACTGATCTAAATAATAAGTATTTTTCAGTCCTTTATTTTTATATAAATATAAAAGTATGTGAACACACAATCTAAACTTACCTGTAAATGAATCAAGGAAGTAAGGCAGCTAAGTTAAATGTATGTAAACTATAACATATATAATTTAGTAAACTTAACATACCTTTGAAAAATAATGTATGTCACAATATGGAATGGGGTAGAAGAGTAGAAGGTAGAAAATGAAAATTTTTTAAAGTTTTAAGAAATGGAAGACAAACACATGTCTTTCCAAATGATGACCAATTTTTTACCCATACCTGTGAGGGTAAGCAATTTTTAATTTGGACTGGCACTTTTCTTGCATCTTTGGCACTTTTCAATATCTTTTCTACTTCCCATTCTTTTTGTCCTATCATACATTTTTTCAACCCTTGGGATTCAGATTTTTTTTTTTTAAGATACACCCTTGAACTTTTCTAGGAGAGGATACTTTAGAAATATATCTATAACAGTCTTCAGGCTGTTACAGATAGTTAATAGGTATTAGACTGAACGTAAAGAATTAAACTCAACGCATAATGGTGATAAATTCATTTAGGTGTCAGGTGTCACCTTTCATGTAGGTTAAATTTTTCTTTTTTCAATTTCAAAGTATGCAAATCAAGATTTTATAAAATTATATTAAGAAAAAGCTACTTTATCCAGATATCTACCTCTGCACAATACTTTTATTTCAACAAAACAGTCTCAAGCATAAAACTCTTTCAAGATTTTATATTTTAAACTTATATCCCACTTCGAATTATCCATATAAAAAATTTGCTACTAAGTTTAGACAACGTACCAAAAACAAATTTCGACACATGTCATCCTTTACTAGGGCCAAGAGAGATGAAAAGTTACCAATACTGTCAGCTCCTGCTTCCAAAGCAACCTTCAGGAGCCCTAGTCCAATTTGAATCATCATTTCTGTGTTGTGATGGTCAAGTGGGCATATCAGAGATACTAAGAATCGGAATAATTCCCGTACACAAGGAAGTCCGTATGGCACCAATGGATCTAAACCTGTTTTATTTTAAGTAGATAAAATTAAATTAATCTGCAATTAAAACAATGACCTTACCAACTCTGATAATATTATGGTTATTGAAATAAAAACAAAATAGGCCAACAGAATGATTAATTGTATGTTATGGTGTCAAAATCAACAACATGAGCACTGATATCTCTCAAAAACTAATATTTTAGTGAGGGTGGGGAAGAGTTTGATTACATTGTTAAGAAAAAAGACTATACAGATGTCAACTAGTGTGAAAAGTTACATAAACTCTTGAACAATTGACACTTTAAATTTAGTAACATTACGATAAGGGTATAAATAGCACAAAAAAATTAATACACTAACTGATTTGCTAATAACAAGTACAGATACCGACCCTCTTTTGGAGGCTGATGAGAAGTGAACCGAACACCCCTGGGATTAACATACTCTTCATTCTTACTTTCTCTGTGTTCTGGAAAACTTGTTTCTAGAGCCAAAGATTCAGAATCCCCAGGTGTTTGAACTGGTACAAAATCAGCATTATTGCTGTTCTGCAGTGGTTCTGTCCCCTGTTTCTAGAACACAGAAACATGGTAGAATGTTATCCAAGTTCACATTCACCGGTACCACCATACTTTCAATTCAATCTCATGTCAATAGTTTTACAAAAGAAAATATATCAAACACTTTTAAATCTAAATGAGTCTGTTAGAAACACGAATAATACTTTAATAATAAAACAAGTTTTACACTTAAATAATAATCACACTCAAAAACCTCACTACAGAAGGTAACCATGCCTTTCTTCATCAGGGTTGAACTTTCTAGTTAACCCCTATGATCCAAGGTCTAACTTCTGTTAGTACTTAGTTTAAATTGTAGTTTAATTTGTGACATTTTATGTCCTTTAAGTACTATGGATTAATGTATTTATATTGTGCTATAAACTTGTTATGTACTATAACATTTCTTTTCTTATAGGCTCACCCGAGAATCATTAGACGATGAAAGAGATGCGTCTCTTAGTGATGATTCATATATATAATCTTGCTGCTGTTCAATGTTTGTGGCTTGACTACTGTCACATCTTTCACTAAATTCAGTTATTTCCAATGTATGATCCTACAATTCAAATTTAACATTATTTTAGAAAATTATTAAATTGAAAACCATGGAAATATTCAAATTATTTCAATATTTCTCATTAGTGAATAACATTAAATGCATGTTATATTTTAAGCAAAATAGCCAAGAATTGAATAACTTACAATAAAACTAGAGAATCAAATATTTGTAATCTTGACTTTATATATAAAACATTTTATAACAATTGTTTCATGACTGATATATGGTCAAATTTACAAAAGTGACAAAAGAAGATAGATGAGTAACAAAAGAAATGATAATGCTTTCTTGAACTTTGGAGAGAAAATAACTTACTTTTGTAAATCTACTGCTGGCCAGATTATGTACATCTACATGAATGGTGTTCTGATGAGGTAAACTGAAACTTTCTGTTATTGTAGTTTCAATCACCTCACATGGTGATTCTTCCTCACAATGGGAATGGGTAGGGGAATCTCTTGAAGTTACATGATTTTCTATCTTGAAGTATGTATCTTCTACAATCTCATCTTTTGTCTCCGAAATTAACAAATTCTGAGGTCTAGATGACATATTAGTTTCTAAAGGAGTGCTGGTTTCTTCTGTTGAAGATTTAATGACTTTTTCTGATTCAACTAACCCTTGAGGTCCTTGTGTTTTTTCTGAGGAAGTACTGTGCAGTTCTGGGTTGGCAAGTTCAGCAGTTGTATTAAAAGAAGCAACACCTAAACTACTTTCAGGACTGTTAGCTGTAGATGCAGGTGGAGTTAGAAATGGAATATCTTTTTTTGGAGAAGATGCATTATATTTTTTATGTTTAGGCCTTGGAGATCGACGTTTTCTGGCATGACGAGATGTGTCAATACCACTAGCTCTCATTTTGAGCTGGAAAAACAAAAGAACAAATAACAATTTTCTTCAGCACACTAATATACTGAAAAATATTACAATTTTTTTTTAACTGCAACAAGATTTGGGCTGTCCTTTCAAAACTTCCAAATTACTGTTTTCTTACTAACCTTTAGGAACAAGAAAGAGTTGATTTGATTTTGCTCATGAATGTGCACTGAAATGTTTCACAGATCTTTAAATCTCCCTTGAAACAGTCATTCCTACTACCTTTGTTTATGTTCTAATAAGTCTAATAAGTAAACAACAATTTCTACATAGCCAGCTTTTTACAAGATCCTACCTCAAATCTGTGTTGGTCGAAGACACAGCAAACAAGATTTTGAATGTAATAGATATATTCAACCACTATTAAGAAAGAACAATAGCTAATACATTTATAGAGAAAAAAGAACCTTGAAATTTTTTTTCGTGTTGATTTTTCTTACACTGCAAAAACCAACTAACTCATCCTCTGACTAATATTAGTTATACACTAAATCAAACCTTTTACCTATTATAACCTCAAAAAGTGGAGAAAATAATGGTGAATCTATCACACACAACTCAAAGCAAACAGTAAAAAACTATGAATGTTAGGTCTTAATTAACACTCGTTAAAATTTGTAGGGAAAGATGTCTAGGAAAGTCTTACTACTCTGACTCATTTTAATAGAAACAAATAGTGGAGAAATTCTGAATACCATTAGAAATATTTTCAATTTCAGTGAACGTAAAACTTTCCTATCATGTTGTTGCTACTCATTTTCTAATATTGTTTAATCACAGCTGTTCTGTTCTCATGCATATACTGCATTCTTTATTCTACATCCACGTGACATTGTATTTCAAACTTCAGTCATGATTTTCTGATGAAATCCACATATCAAAAAATTAAGAAAATAAAATATATTTAAATAAGTTTTTTTAGAAATAAATTATATAATTTATTTTTTCAATCACTAGAAATATTAAGGTTTTTTCGAACAAGCTATGAAAGTTATATTTAAAACAACAGATTTTCTGAAACAGCAAGTAACTATTTATGCAGGTAAAGCTATTATAGACACTGGAGAGTTTGAAGAGTGATATTAAGATCAGAAATGAGATTTTTTTTAGACCCAAATACAGCTTAGTTAAGTATCCTGATAAATTAAAGTGGATTTTTGCGGTATGAGTATAGTTATTCCAAAATACATATATAAAACCTACAAAAGTTATTTTCTTACATACTCTATATGTGGTGAGGCTTAGCAAGTATGAAGCACGAGTACAAAACTTTACAACATCATAAGTAGTAGAGGTCATTGTTTTCTATGTATTTTTTATTTATCTATGTCTTAAGAAAAATAACTAAAATTTATATGCAAATAGTAATAATATATATACATATGTAATGTGTGGTAACCAAAATGTCATTATATTTTACAATATACTGGCACAGTAGTAATAAGGCTAAGAAATGTAAAACATTTGTACTTTGTAAAAATCAGTTTTATGGAATTTGATACATTAATGTGAGTTGCATGTGTTCTGGATGATTTACAACTTTTGTGGTGGGAATATTAGTTATACATGGTTCAAAGGTCAATAAAACAACAAACAAAAAAAATATAATATATAGAT